AGATAGATCTACACGTGTAAAAGACAGTATATAAATGCCGCTAGATTGCTTTTGTTGTCAAGGCAGTTTGTGTATTAATAGCAATTTAAAAAGCCGACAAGCCAACCGTAATGACCAGTTGGTAGTTTAAACGTGTAATTAGACATATTATGTTGTGTTTTATGTCGAATTATTGTTCTTTCTGCGATCATGCCTGCATAATAGGGACATAGATAATTATAGCAATGCTTGTCTATCGATTGATATACAGGACTATATTTTAATAGCACTCTTTCTCATAATATAACGTACGTACTAAAAGTTTTAATAAAATATTTATCTAATTTTTTTAATCAAGAAATTTACATTAACTAGTTAATCGAACTATGTGGAGTGGCCCAGTCTGTCCTACCAGACGCAATTATCGTTTCATTTTAAAACTCATCGTTTCCCTACATTTCAAGAATTACTTACACATATTTATCTCTTTGTCAACCATTTTCCATCCACTCCTGAATGTAGGTCTCTCCCAATTGCTTCCATCTGTCTCAATCTTGCGCCAATCTAATATACTGTTTGCTGCCACTACTCTTATGTCATCTACCCATCTTTTTTGAGATCTTCCCATGCTCCTTGTTGTCGTCCTTGGTCTCCATTCTAGAATTTTCCGTGTCCACCTATTGTCATTATATCAGGCTACGTTACGTGACCTGCCGTTGTCTCTCAGTGATATTCCAAGCATGATTCGTTCCATTACTCTTTGCGTTGTTTCTAGTTTTTTAGCTGATTTTTTGGTAAGGGCTACTGTCTCCAAGCTTAGATACATACTGGTAGTATGCATGTGTTATACACATTTTTCTTTAAGTTTACAGGAAAGGAGGTGTTTTTCAAGATATATGCTAGTTTGTTGAAAGCGCCCCATGCCAGTTGTGTTCTTCTTTTAATTTCAGCATCTTGATTTGGTTTTCCTAGTTTGATGACATGACCTAGATATACATAATGTTCAACATTTTCTATGGTATGATTTTGTATGTTATATTTGTCTGGTCTCTGCTCAGTATTTTTGTTTTACTGTAGTTCATTTTTAAGCCTACCGCTCCTGAAACTGCATTTAATTTAATAATTCTGCACATATTTCAGAAGTGAAATACTTTTCGTCATTTTAAAATAATAATTTTTTCATTGACAAAGTGTGCTGCCTCAGTTGACGACAACATCTTAGGAGTTGCTATTTAGAGTATTTGCTCTATATTGTATAATGTATTCTATATTCTATAATATATTCTATATTGTATAATGCTCCTTGTTGACATTCCAACCTGTTTTTTATGCTCTCACACTTTTTAAGAGGATCAGACATGCCATTCCCTGCTCGCGCTCCTCTATTGTTCTATAAATGGTTCTGCGTGAAATATTTTCATTCTGGAATATTCGAGCTTTGGGTACCCGCTCAACCAACTTGTAGATACGTTTTCTTATATCTAATTTATACGGTATCTTAAAACAAAAGCTTCAAAACAAATAAATTTCAACCTTCAGTAAACAAAGAAAATTGATTCCAGAATGATTTGGTATAGTGTATCTTGGTCTTGCGTAAATGTCTAAATCGTGATCTGGATTAGTAAACATCTACATGGGTGACACCCCAATCAGCCCAGTCAACAAGAATATGTTGATAATAACTACCTGAAATATATGGTCAAAGATCCTCAGGTCCAAAACGACAAATGCCGATATAGAAGTCAAGCTTAAGAAACCATACATCTTATAGGGAACTGCCAGGCATTTGCTGCAATTGAATATAAGGACTTAGTAGGAAAGATACTCCTTAAAGAGCTAAACAGCTAGAAAACTGAAATTTTTCAAATCCAACTGTCTCTCTTAATATATAGGTACCTGATAATATGCCTAAGAATGATCAACTACCATCTATACTGAGACAGTATAGTGTTAACAAATCAACCAGTGGTATGTAATAGATAATTTCTTATACTAGTTAATAAACTTCAAGATAAACAACACTTTTTGATCTGGCCATACATGACCATAATAATCTCCGTGGTCAATACAATGAGAAGATCGCCAAGTACAAAGATTTTAAGCTCCAAATAAGGAGACGATGGTACAAAGTAACCAGACGATGTCTGTTATTATATCTGCTATTGGTGTCATTCCGAAGAACCTTCTAGACAACATCAAACATCTAAGTCTTAGTAAAAATCACTGTAAACAAAATTTTTTGAGGAGATACTCAAAAAGTTCCCAAAGAGCTCTATCCTTTTAATGCACCAAGTATCTGATATTTTATAGTTAAACCATAGGAAAATTTATAACTGAAACGAAATACTGAATAAACACTTAATTTCACTAATCACCTATCTGTGTGATTCTTCTTTCGATCAACTTACTAACACGTTTTGATATACCACGAATCAAGTTGAAAATGAAACGTTAAGGCATATTTTTTCACTGATTTCCTTGAACAGCGTCAATCAGGTCCTGAACAGTTACATTGGAGTACTCTCGATTTAACCTTGCCTTGAAAAAATATTCTCCTATACGTTCAAAGACATTTCATTAGTCTAGTTAGTTTATTCCTTTGCGCGCGATGATCGTTCCAAACCATTTCTCGAAATGGTATGGAATGGCTTCTCACGAGGCAATGATTTTGTGTCCCACGGCAGTCTTAAAAGCAAGGAGTATCGCTCTAGAAAGTGCCAATGCAAAATGCAGAATGTAGATATACATATTATAATCTAGAGCTATATTACAGAAGAATTATTTTTACAAAAAGGTTACATCTGTAAGTCCAAGCAAGATTATTTCTTTATTCCCATTTTTTGGTTTTTTTTTTTAACTTGTGTTTGAAACATATTTTGTAGTGATGATTATTCTCAAATACGGCCCAGTTTGTTGTTATCTTCTGATTTGTCTACACGCAATCACATTTTATTTCTATTTTACAAAAAAAAACAATAAACGAAGGGAACTTTGTTCGATACGCAGCGATTTCCGTGTGGCAATCAAGGCCACGTAGATAGCTTTGTCCTAAATAAGGCTAAACGGTTGCAACAGTGGACAAAGACTAATTTCATTCTATTTGTATCAATTCGGGTTATGCAGCCGTTTACATTATATGAGTCAGGTCCGCGTGGTTAACTGGACAAAGGTATTGTTCGGGAAAATGTTTTGAACTTTGTAATTTAATTATGGAACAAAAATGGAAGGCAATTATCAACGTAACTACAATTTTATAGGCATGTCGAAACTGTTAATCCGTTTCGGAAAAAATGTCTATAAATTATACAAAGTGTTGTAATAAATGCACTTTTACCAAGAACTTGAACAATGGCAATTATTTTAATGACTTAGTACTTGAAATATTTTGGATCTAAGACATTACATTACAGTTTAAATTTCTGAGGAATAATCATTATTAAAAACAGTTTATTTTATACTTAATCGGTCTTCATTGTTTCAATAGGTATTGCACTGATATATCAATGAAAAAAAATATATCTCTGATTGCAGTTAGATGAATTAAGCGTTTCTATAAATCATTTTTACAGATGTTGATAGTTTTATTTTTATTAATTTGAACTTTTTTTCTTCATTCCAGGGTTTAGGTTACCTTGCTCCATATTTCCATAAGTCGTCAGCTTCTTCTTCTTTGCAGATTTTAATTTACGATTTGTTTAGTTAGTCTATTTTCATCCACTCTGTTTATATTTTGTTTCCACGTTTTTCTGTATTGTTTTTTTCATTTATTGAGTAAATAAATTTATTCGTTATTTACTTCATGTATTTACGTCTTTCTCAGATTTCATATCCATATAATATGGGAAGTTTGGTCGTTGTCATAAATGCTTGTCATTGTATAATTTCACGTCTTGTTCCTCAATGTTCTGTGAATTTTTCCGCAAATCGATACATAAACTCCAAAACCTCTCAAAAGTTAGTTTAGAGTTTTTAACCTTACATCCAGAAACCCAGATTTTAAGTTGAGAGGTTTTAGAGTTTAGGTTTCGATATATTTTAATAAAACCTGTCAATTTTGACAAAAAGATGGCGCGGCTATGTGATCTTCATTGTCTTCTACTATAGCGAATCTCTTCATGGCACGTTTCGAGAAGAAAGCTCTCGTGTATGCTCATTTCGAACAAAAACTAATGATTCATTATGATAGATGGACTTTAAATATTCCATGGACATTTAAACTCCATTAATCCAAAAATCCAGTTACACTAAAACTCAAGGATAATAACCAACGCCTGTTCTTGATGTCTTAAAAACCCAGCGCCAAGATGGAAAACTTGAATACACAGTATCACCAGATGGGAAGGAAGGGCCTGGAAAACTACGGCCACTTATCCAATCCCACGGTGCCTTACGTAGGGACTTCGACCAGTCTATTCGAAGTGCCTTCTGCGTATATTCCATCTTTGGTGGATAACAAGCAGAGTCCCGGCAAAGGACTCCCAGGGTACAGGAGATATAATATGAAAGATAAGACCAGCCTGGCCGAGAGTTGAAAATGTCCCATATTTATATGTTTCTATATGGCATTTTCAGATCACTCGGCCAATAGAAAAAATCGAAGATATTTTGATGACAAGAAGAGCACTCCCTGTTCTTCCGAATGCGTTCTCACTTAGTTTTCTAGGCAGGTGGCAAAATCAGCAAGTATTGAGCTATTTTGGACAAAACAGGCAAATTTAACAAACTCTACCTGCAATTGTTGATTTATATTTCTTCAATTCCTTAATTGTTACCTATCCAACGGTAACTTACACATCACAAATTATAAATACTAATAATGTAAAACAACTACAAATTTTAAACATATATTTTGGTGGCTACTAGCATGTACAACCGTTTGCACTGATGATGGATTGTTTAATTCGAAAACGTTTTGCAATGTGTTTGTGATAGCCCGTTTGGGGCATTTTTATATACCTTTTATAAAGGATTTTAAACAAAATTTTTTTTCCTTAATTACTAATTTAATATTTTTCTTTCAGCATTCTCTTACCCTAGTACATCACCAGGTAGCAGTAGCAGCAGTTCAGCCTCGTACAGATCCACCCCTTCACCACCACCTATCACGTATTCACCGCATAATACGCCACTGTCGTCTAGTTCGATTTCTGACGAAGGAATCGTCATGGACTATTATCCTGATGAGTTACCAAGAAAGAAAAAGGTAAGTTTCTTTAAATCATGAATGTGTTGCTTGTGTGAGTCCATATCAAATAGGTAAAGAAATAATAATAAGACTTACTCACAATCAATTTAATTTAACAATCTGACGACCGGTTTCGCTTTCTATAATTTGCAAAGCATCTTCAGGTCGAGATACAAAGTTAAACTAATGCTGCAATAAAATAAACCCAATTAGGGTGGTGTTTATTTTATCTTTATGAGACACCACCCTAATTGGGTTTATTTTATTGCAGCATTAGTTTAACTTTGTATCTCGACCTGAAGATGCTTTGCAAATTATAGAAAGCGAAACCGGTCGTCAGATTGTTAAATTAAATTGATTGTGAGTAAGTCTTATTATTATTTCTTTACCTATTTGTAAGTTTCTTTCTTCACAAAATAAAAGTTTTTGTTTAAGCTTTACCAACTTGTTACGAAATCTTTAAAATATCGACATCATAAAGTCGTAATATGAAAGCTTTTAGCATTAGTAGTTTCATATAATATAAAATCTTTTTACGTAATGTATTAGCGCCAAGTAAGTTTAATGAAAAACTACGACTGGGAGCTTCTTCTACTACGACTGGGGAAAAGAAAAGTTATTATTTTCAGCAACTTAGATTTGTAATAATTTAGAGCACTACTTTAAAAAACCATTACTTTTTAAAACTTTTTAAAAAACCATTACTTTTTAAAACTACCATTCCTATTTGACCAATTAACATACAAATCGAAAAAAGTTGTCCAAATATAAAATCAAAATATAACATTTGTAAAAAAAACGAGCCAGAAAGTAAAAGAGAAAAATTTAAGGAAGCTACAGTCATTTTGTTAATCAAAAAACAAAACCAGCAAAAATAAACACATCAGAAATGTCTAAGGAACACACATTTTTTTCTCATATATACCTACATCAATTTTGTTTGGATTTTAAAAAGTGACATACCGTTATATAGCCTGATTAGTCGACAATAAACTTAATCAGGGTAGATACAAACACTAGTTTTATCTGTGAATAACACAGAACTCATTTTTTTAAGCCCCGCTGCACATGCTCTTGTGCTCATCTTAATCTGAGTCCAAAATTTAAACGACGTAGCATGGGTACCCTCAACAGACGTCTGGCGTTGAGATTAGTTTCATTATTTTATTAGTATCGTTGAGATTAGTTTAATCTATTCCTCAAAGGTTGGTCACGTTGTGTTTCTAAGGTCCCATAGAGTTCACGTCCAGTTATATGTATATTTTGACAAGCTAATCCTACCACATACCAATTCTGTCGAGGAGTAGTTTCATGTTGATGACTCCCAAGTTTTTCAGCGACATTAGCAAACTATTCATATTGACGCCACAATCGCTAAATTACGCTCCGAGACATGTCAAAATGACGTGCAACATCAGATTGTGAAAGACCAGCTTGAATCATATTCACAGCACTTAACATTTTGACAGCACTAATTTGAGTCGCTATCACTTTTGCCTAATAAATCAGTGCAATTGACAGATTATTTTACATGGCGTACCTTGTAATAAAAAGGTGTAATAATAATGGTGTTCAATATACATTTTTGATGTGTGTAATTTAATATTAAATGCACACATCAAAAATATAAGTTAGTATACGTCATAAGCTTGAAATTATTGATAACCTATTAGTTTTTTCTCGTGATTGTTGGTGTTAAAGTAATTAATATTGATAATAGATCAATCATGTCCTATCATTATTGATAACATTGATTTCTGATAATGAGTTCACCTATATCCTATGATTTGATTTGATATTGATTTGATATTGAAAACCACTGAAGTAAGATGAAAATATCAATCAAATTAACAATCTTCTTCAAGTATCCTCTTATATCGAAGGTTGGCGATGACTACAATTTTTTTTACGGTGGACAGTCCATTGATAAAGCTTAGCCACGTCATTTTCCGTATACCAGGATCTTGCCTGCCCTCAATCTTGCTTTTGTTAACTGCGGTATCAGTTAATATTACCAATAGCGAAGAGAAATGTGTTTTCTTAATTAAAATTAGTTGCAATTGAATTATAAATACGTACAAAGCCAAAAATGCGATGCAGGAAAGAATAGACACAGTAGTAATCTTGAGCCAAACATGTGGAGGGCCTTTTTAATAATTAAAATGCACTTTTTTGTTTGTTAAACTTTAGAAAATTTCTTTCTGTTACCATAACATCAAATCGAGATTATAAACTAATTATAACATCAATAGTTGTAAAAATAGAATAAAAAACAGTAAAACAAATTATTTATACATATACATAATATTCAGATAAAAGTTTTGATTTAAAATTGGAAAATCATTTATAATTTAGAACCTTCATCATTAAAACTTAATAATTACCACAGGATATATAATTTGGTGAAAATGAGATAATGAGAAAGGGTCAATACTTCGGTCATATAATGAGAGAACCTAAATATCGCTTACTCCGGTTGATCGGTCAGGGCAAAATCGAAGGAAAATGCTGGGTTGCAAGAAAATAACTATTCTGGCTGCGTAACATTAGACAATATCTAGGTAGAACGCTCGAGGAATTGTTTTAACTAGCTGCCGATCAAGAAACATTTCATCAGCTTGTTAATACGACGATAACTAACACTTAAAGCACGGCATAAAAAGAAATTTGTGCCTGGCGCAAAATCACTAGTTTGATTATAGTTGTGTTAACAAATGAAAATCCGTTGTCCTCTTTATTGGAACAGGCCTCGTCATCTGAATTGCCTGCTCAATCTATAACTTCGAATAGATCTTCTGTTTTCGCTTCGTTGAATGTGATAAGCTCTACCCAATCATCTTGTATCTTTTTTCCATGTGCTTTACACAATTAGAGCATCGTTCCATACTTTTTTGGCTGCTCTATCTCCACGTCCATTTTCTACAATGTGACGATCATAGTACTGTGTACAAGTTCCCCAGATCAACTCTATCGGATTGTACTGGCATTGATATGAAGGTAGTGTAATATCTGATGTCCATGTTCTTGCAGTAGTTCGTCTCTAACGTACATACTTAATGCTTTTTGGCTTCTCCTGCCGACAAAGACTTCATAGCTCTGTCTTAAAGGAATCCGTTTCAAAATTTAGATTTCTTACTAATAAACATTTTTTTAACTGTAATTTTTTCCAAGGAGGTTAAGGAGATATGTTAAGATGTCAATAAGTAGAGATGATTCCAGCATTGGTATGGGCTTTTCGAAGATCCATTTTTCAAAATACTCCTTATCTATGGAATCGTGATAGTCTTAGACTCTAGTCTAAGTCTAATCTTCTTTATGTCTTAAATAATATATCTTGCCATGTTTCGTAAAAAAAAAACGAACCGAAGTGGGCTTGGACTTGTATTAGAAGCGTTTTGTGTTTGTTATTCCAACACTTAAAATCTCCAGATGTCCAATCAGGTATTTGCTTTTTAATAATTAAGTCTTGTTAGTTTAAAGGCACTTTCAAGAGCTATGTTCCTTAAATTTATCTTTAGTGGGTCTAGCAAAGTCTAGTGCTGAAGTGGGGCAGAATATTATCAAGACTACGGCATGTACATAGAACTATCCTTGTTACTTTAGAGATAATATTTGCGAGGTACGCATTCCATGTAAGTTTCTAATCGAGGACATATCCGAGATACTTAACCTCTTCCGAGAATTGCTAATTTCCTACTATTAATAAATGAAGGTAAGAAGGTTGGAGACGTTAAGAAGATTTCTAAAAATACCATTGACCATGTCACAAACGGGACAGTATTGCGTAAAATGTTCCATGGCGGAGAACTTCTTAATATTATCAAAAAGCACAAAACTAGTTATCTACAACATTTGTACCAGGAAAGTATATTTTGAGCTCTTGAGATTCTTGATGGAGAGGAAAATTGAGGGAAGCAGAAGTCCCGTTAGGAGAAGATGTTCAAGGTTGAAAAACATCAAAGTGGACGGGTCTCGATACTTAGTCCTTATTGAGAGCCGCACAAGGTAGAGAAAGATTTGACATAATTGTTGCCAACCTTCAGAAATGAAGAGAGCACTCTAAGAAGAAGAAGTAAATGATACGAATGTATTAGGATTTACTGAAAGTAATTATTTGACATAACTAAATCTAGTCAGTGAAGCAAGTTATCGGAGAGCCTTAAAATCAACATTTCAAAGACAAAGTGGATGACAGTTGGAAAGATCAATACAGATCAAGGTCTAATTTCTCTTAATGGAGAGGAGATCGAAAGGGTAAATCATTTCAAATACCTTGGCAGCTGGTTAAATGTAAATTGTGACTGTGATGAAGAGATAATAATCAGCATCGAAATATCACGTAAGGCTTTTATGACCTGGAAACCAGTTTTATGCAACAGAAACTTGTCGGTGAATATTCATAAGATGGTCCTGAAATGTTATGTGTGGTCCATCCTATTGTATGGTTGTGAGACATGGACGTTAAAAACCACAATGCTAAACAAGTTAGAAGCATTCGAATTGTGGTGCTATAGACGAATCCTAAATATATCGTGGGTTTCGCACACTTGCAATGAAGATGTTTTTCAAATGATCAATTCAGAACGTCTGCCCATAAACACCATAAAGAGGAGAAAAACAGAATACTTCGGTCATATAATTAGAAGACCTAAATACCATCTACTTCGCCTTATAATAAAAGGAAAAGTGGAAGGAAAGATATGGATTGGTCGAAAGAAACTTTCATGGCTGCGTAATATTAGACAATGGTGTGGTTCCACAGTAGAAGAATTATTTCGCGCAGCAGCCGACAGAGAAAGGTTTCAACACATTGTAAACATGATGACGGCCAAGGTCTTTTGCCAGGTGTAAGTACAAAGTTGTAAGTTTTTATGTATTTATTACCTACAGATTTTCTGTTCATCTCAGCATCGTAGTCTAGTAGCGTTATGGGAAACTACTTCCTTAATTACTTCTATCTTTTTCTTGCTTTCTTGAATTTCCATTTAGTATTTTATAGTTTTATTGTAAACAAAGTT